AAATTTAAAGGACTTAATTAAAACATTATATGAAATTGAATAATGATACACATACAACAAATTTTTCTTCATAATAAACAAAGTGGAAAAATATATAAATAAAAAATGATATTATACAAATTGTTGTACATGTTTTTTGTTATGCGTGTAATATTATTATATAAAATTACACCTTAAAAAAATAAAAAGAATACTGAAATTAAATATTAAAAACCCTTGTAAGTTGTAACCTACAATACCAGGTCAAATTTACCCTGTGTAGGATACTCAAGCTGTCAGTCTTGTGTAGCCTATAATCAATCATAAATAAAAATAAAAAAGAGATGATTTTTCTTGAAGAGAGATACGTACACGCATGCGCAGAGGATCTAGGAGCAAAGCACAGCCACAACCGAAAAAGATTCAAGTGGGGCCCACACCCAACGCCACATCGAACACAACTTAACGGTCACGACCAACACCAACGCCGAACATCACCATTTTTCTCTGCGAACAAAATTTGAAAAAAAAAAAAAACAGAGAGAGAGAGAGAGAGAAATGAGGAATCTTTGTCAGAATTGGGATGTTAGAGGCGCGATTGGAGTTAATGTGGGGAAACCTAGTTGGGAAGTTTTGTTCCCCCGTAGGTTGTGGTTGCCGACGTGGACAGGCGAGAGGAAAGAGGGGAAGTTGAAGGTGCAGTGCGGTGGTGGGAGAGGGAGAGAGGGGTGCCTCCAATCTGCGGCCAAAAGCGCTTTTGCCTTTGGCGTTTCCGCCGCGGTTTTGCTTGCCGTCTTCCGCCACTCGCCGGCGGCGCTCGCTGAGTCCCTCACTGTTGCTTTTCCCGTTTCGCGAGCACCTGAGGTCATTTATTCTCGCACTCTCTCTTTCATGCCTTAGTTTTGGTATGATCATTTGTAACATATAGTGCGGTGGTCGAGAGTTATTTTATAGTATTTGTGTAAGAGTTACACACAACTTTAAAATGATGGGATATTGTGGGATTTGGATCTAAGTTTTCGGTTTTATTTTTGATCATCACCAAAAATATACTTGTATTTTATAAGTTATTATTATTTTTATATAGAACTTATTTTATAAGATGATTTTACTCTTAAATTTTTAAATAATAAAAAAATTATATTAAAATTTAATTATTTTTATAAATTTAAAACTCAAACTCAAGATCTTAAAATTTAAAAATCGATTTAATTTAATAAATATCAATAATTTTTAAATATTTTTATTAAATAAAATATAGAGATATAAGATGTCTTGATCCTATTAATAACATTAATGTTCGAATAATGATTACAAAATTATAAAATAAAAACTTTAAAAAGACGAGCAAGAGAAAAATCATGAATGTTAATTGAACGTTGAATATATGGTTTCTCTTGGATAGTAAGATGTGAATATCATTTTATTTCAAGACTTAGATGAAGTCATAAAAATAAATATTTTTATCATCTATAGTTTTATATAGTTGAGTTTTATGCGATTATTAGTTCATTGATTCCCTTATTACACCCATGAAACATATCACTTTTCAGTTTCTAGATGAAAAGCCTAGGACATTTTGCTTGGTAATTTGAAGAGAGTCATAATCCAATGCTAAATACACCTACCCATTGAGTTTTGCCTGCGTCTAAGCCATCCTGGTGAACAAATTTGAATATCCAAACTAACTATGATAATTCCAGTGATTTTGCTCATAGCTTTAACATGAGTAGTGCTGAGTGGAAAAGGGTTTGTTTGCTAGGTAAATGCAGTTCAAAGAACTCTTGTGGAAGCATGGGGTCTAATTCGAGAAACATTTGTTGATCCTACATTTAATCATCAAGGTATTTCTGCTTTCTCACCTTTTCCTTTGGTGATTAGTTCCACTACAAATACAAATGTTTGCCTAAAAATAAGATATATCTTGTTGTGAATCAATAATAGAAGATACTTTTTTTGGTAGATTGGGATTTGAAGTTACAGCAAACCATGGTGGAAATGTTTCCCCTGAACTCAGAAGATGCAGCATACACAAAAATCCGTGGAATGCTTTCCACCCTTGGAGATCCTTTCACTCGAATTATCAGCCCAAAGGTCTTACAACTAACATTTCCATTTTCAGGATTCTTAATCTTACTTTCTTGTTCAATAGAAAAAGTAGTGACTAGAAAGATAATAATAGATCCAATACATAGTAACTTATGTTTTCTACTCTAGTGTGTCGCTTCCATATGAAATAGACTATTCTGACAATAACATGAATAAACATCCGCTTTCTTTCTGGTATTCGGAAAACGTTATTATATTAATATCTGAAATTAAAAAAATTGTCAAATAAGTTCCTAGAATGTTATTTAAATTTAACTATTTACTATCATTTTAGTCCTTGTTGATATACATCAATATTATCACTTTATTTAGCCACATATTTTTTTGTTATGGACTAATGTGATTATCAATTTATAATCTTAAGGATTTATTTTACAATTCCATAGTTTAAAGGACTAATATGGCATCGTATTCTAAATTCAAGGATAAAATGGATGATTACTATAATAACATTCTTGGATTAAAAAGTCTGTTTAAGGTCACATTTTGTGGTTGGTTAGAGTTTAACAGTGGTTCCTAATTACAGGAATACCAAGGGTTTAGAATTGGAAGTGATGGGAACTTACAAGGAGTGGGCCTCTTCATAAATGTTGAACCAAGAACGGGACATTTGGTTAGTGACTTGCAAAGAACATTTATTATATTTTTCACTTCCAGCAATCAAACTGCATTTAATTTTTATGTTAATTGTTCTAAGGCCATTTAATCGTTCCCATTTAAATTATTAGAAGCAGCAAGAACTAGATATCAGTCAGGGAATTGTGCATGTTGCTTTATGATTTTTTTATTGTAATAAATAATAAGAAGAAGAACAACAATAATATCTCTCTTTATTATGTTTATAATTATTATTTTTTTTATTTCAAACCACAGGTTGTCTTGTCATGCGTAGATGGCAGTCCAGCTGCGCGTGCTGGTATTCATCAAGGAGATGAATTGATAGAGATAAATGGTACTGATCGTGTATCTATGTTTTTCTTCTTATGAATGAAGCTATTTACATCTAGTTTTCTGTATTTTATCATTGAAACTTGAAACCATTATATGACTTTTGCAAATATTTTAGAGTTTCTATGTTTAAAGTCTGTTCGAATACAAGTTTAAAAGTACTTTTGAGGTATTCTTTATCGGAAATAAGCATTATTTTTAGTAGAGAAATTCTCAAAAAAACTTTGAAGTTTATAACCAAACAGACTCTTAATACTAAATTGATTGAATTGATGTAAAAAGTGCCATAGCAAATACCCTATCTTGGTTTAGGTAATAACAGTTTCATAAATCTCTAGATGGTGTCAGTCAATTTTTGTTAGCAAATAAAGATTTTATCCCTCAAGTGAATGAAACAAGTGTGATTTTCTTTTGTTTGAAAATAATTATTGGATTCTGCAGGTGAGAAGCTTGATGGCATTGATAGTGAAACTGCAGCACAAAGGCTTAGAGGGAATGCTGGAACAACTGTTACAGTAAAGGTTCATTGTATAATTATCATACTTCCAATTTTAATATAAGCAATTAAGCATTATTTGAACTACTGAGATGTGCTTCAGAGAAGTTTTCATGGATTACCTTTCAAACATTGGATGTCTCTTACTAGAAAGATAGAGTTCAATTTTCAACCTTTATTTGTTTTTGTTCCAGAGGGTGAGGGTAATCTTCATTCATTCAAAAAATGAACACTAGCATACGATAGAGTGCTTAAGGAAATAGTTTAACTCTTTCATTCCTTAGAAGCTTTCTAGAAACTAATTTAAAAATGTTTCTTTTGCAGGTCAAAGACTCAGGGACAGGCTCTTGTATCCGAGAGGTAATGTGGACATTTTGGTGATTATGATTCTTGAAATGCTAACTTATTTCTGCTATTTTAGTTTATGGTCTTGTGTTATACATGAGCAATTAAGCATTTAACTAACAAACACTTTCACCTTTATTTGAACTTGAATTCAATTCACAACATTTTATTGATGATCAAATATAATATACTTGAAGGTCAAAATTCCTAGGGAGTATATCAAGCTCTCTCCGATATCAAGTGCCATCATCCCTCATAGATCCCCAGATGGTCATCTCACAAAAACTGGCTATGTGAAATTGTCAGCCTTCTCTCAGGTGAGCAAAGAATCAGCAATCAAAAAAAGTTGCTATTTTATGTATTTACTATGTGTTTGTGAACAACCACGAGGGTTGGTGTAGTATTAGAATCCAGTCGTCGTAATTGTAATTCCTATGGATAAAAATATCACGTGTTTGTGAACATCTTTTGTGCCAGAAATAGCTGCTATTTTTGTTGTTTCGAATGATTTCTCTGGAAAAACTGACAAAAAAAAAAAGAATTATTTGTGCAAAAACTGAACCAAACGCACATTGTTAAAAGAGAAAATATCTAAATCAAGTACGGTTTTGTTCTTCATTATACATAAAGTCATAAACTCTTCTTGTTCCATATTGACAGACTGCTGCTGAAGACATGAAGAATGCCATTCACGAATTGGAAAAGCAAGGAGTAGACTCATACATACTAGATCTACGGAACAATCCTGTAATTTTCTTATTTGATAGAGACTTTCAAACAGTGTTGTTACCTGATCTTTGGAACAAAGTAACTTAGAAGCGATTTCCTCATTTTTGGTGTAATTTTGTTGCAGGGTGGTTTAGTAAAAGCTGGTCTTGATGTTGCACAGATGTGGCTAGATGGAGATGAGACTCTAGTGAATACAATTGATAGAAACGGGAACATGTTACCCATTAATATGGTCGATGGACATGCAATAACACATGATCCACTTGTGGTGATTGTGAGTACTAACTGTAGTTGCTTAATAACATTAACTATGGTCATGTTTAGATAAACTTCTACATAAACAGTTTAGGAGAAAAAAATAAAAAAATAAAGATAAAAAATTTATAGAAATTAATTTATAAAAATTCTCTCATATTAGCTTTTCTAGAAATTAATTTTTAACTTATGGGGAAACTAACTTAAATTTATAAAAAAAAATTATTTCATTTTTCTTTATTATTTTTCACTTACAAGTGTTTTTAGACAAGTTTATCCACACAGACCTTATGCTAGTATGCCTTCTAATTCTACAATATTTGAATATAAGTCTATTTGAATAAGTTTCTTTAGAAACACTTTTAAGAAAAAAAATATATGAAGGAAAATCAAAAGAAATTTTTTCATAAGTTAAAACTATCTTATTCATGAGTTAAAAATTAAATTTTGAAGTTAATGGGAGAAAGTTTCTACAATGGAAAAGTTTTATTTCATTTTTTCCTTCCTATTTTACTCTCCTAGAAGTGTTTCTGGAAAAGATTATCCAAACATGTCCTATGCCACAGAATAGTAACTTCAGTATATTGTATCATACAGATTTATATTTCAAAGTATGTTTGTGTTATAATACAAATTTTATTCACTTGCTTATATTTAAATTTGTGACAACAATCAGAACTAACCTAACATGAATGATGAACCAAATTAACATCCAATTGCATTCCCTATTCCTATATGTTTCCCTGGACCATGCTTCAGTGTTAGCATGGTTCACTATTAACAAATCATCTTTTACCGTAACATATGTAGCTTCATGCAACTTCTATGTTTTGTTTCTAAACATAAGCCTGCCACATCTGGTTTTCTGATATTACTAGTTTAGTGAACTGAAATTTTTGTATCCGTGACAGGTCAACGAGGGAAGCGCAAGTGCCAGCGAGATTTTAGCCGGGGCATTACATGATAATGGTCGAGCAATTCTTGTGGGGCACAAAACATTTGGTAAAGGAAAGATTCAGGTACTATGAACAGTCCTCACCTTATTTAACGGATTTTAAGGTTTAGTTAAGCTCATAATCCACTTTCTTAATAGTTATATAATGATCATAGTAGGATGTCTTAAGTATTAAAATCTCGTTATTAAACAAGATTTCCCCAAGGCAAGGCAAAGCATGAAACAAAAGATACTGAATTGTATTTATGAGGTGGATAAATTACCCCAGATCTCCATGAGTTTTTTTCACTTATAAAGGAATGTACCATAAATATAGACGCCAATGTATATTATGTTAACCCTGCATTCGTTTGAAACAATGCATTGTCAAAAACCATATTGATGAATAGTCTTTGAAAGGTGCCAATTGCCATAGTAATTGTTTTTTAGACAAAATTTAGATGCAGTTTCAGAGTTTGTTAAGTGCATTTGGTGTTGTTTTATACTCAATTGGAGTTCCGCCTCAATAATTTATAATCTACGTAATAAAAGGTTTGCATTAAAGGGAGCATCTGTTTTTAAAATGAAACTTTAATTCTGATCAGAAAACTGCAATAAAAGTGTTTATATATCTAAGTAGTGTTTGTTTTTCCATCAAAGCCAATTTCAAACTACACTAAGGATTTGTTTAGATAAACTTTTCCAAACGCACGTCTTTGAAGAAAAAAAAAAAGTAGGAAGGAAAAAGAAACTAAACTTCTACATAAATGTAAATTAGCTTATACACAACCTAATTTGTAGAAATTTTCTCATATTAGCTTCTCCAAAAACTTATTTAACTTGTACAGAAACTAGTTTTAGCTTATGGAGAAGTTCATCTCATTTTTTCTTCATATTTTTTTCTCTTAGAAGTGCTTATGGAAAAGTTTATCCAAACATGTCTTAAGCTATATTTTGTCATGTCTTGGCTAATGGTGGGATGTATCTTTCTAATTTCAGAGTGTCACTGAGCTTCATGACGGGTCAGCCCTCTTTGTGACAGTGGCAAAATATCTATCACCAGCCCTTCATGACATAGACCAGGTTGGTATAACACCAGATGTGCAGTGCACAACAGAAATGCTGAATTCAGCCAAGGAGCTTTCATCCAAAGACAAGGCCTCAGTCTCATCTCTGGAAGCAGATTCATGCATAATGGTGGCAGAACATGAGTTGGATATGGAAGAGTCCAAGGGAACTGCTTCTTGAACATTACATTTCCTTTTGTCACACTTTCTTTTCAATGTTTAACAGTTGAGAGAAAGGGTAGCTGAGTGCTGCTGTGTCAGCCAATTCATCAATTTGTACAATGGTATACAAAATAGAGAAACAGATTGTATATACAATTCAATAGAATGATAGAAAATCTACACACTAGTTGAAGCATAACTGGCAAGTGTCTCATACCTTATAAGGGTTTGTATATATGTGTGAAAATATTCAAAAGTCTATATAAATTTATAAATATTTAAAGATTTTTTATTGATAATGAAATATAAAAATATGCATATTAAAAAATAGTTTTGATAAATTAAAAATTACTTCTATTAATAGAATATTATTTTAATGATGATTTGTGAATATTTTATTATACTTAATGTAGATTGAATAAATTAAAGTATTCATCAAAACAACTAAGAAAACTTAAAGTCTCGTTTGAAATGAATAAGACGTGTCACAAAATAAGGTAAACATGTGATTGTATAGTTTTTAAGAATAAAGACTCAAATTAACAAAGGAATTGTTTACTTATACACTTACTGTACTTTAAATTCAATGTTTCTGGACAAAGTTGGATATTCTTCAAAGCAAGATGCTACGAGAAAGTCACTTCCAAAGAATTTGATAAATTGAAATAACAAGACTCATCAATTCCAAGTAACGTAATGATTACATTAATATATCAGCTCACACCAAATAGCTGAGTAGAAATTACATATTGTAACAGTAGCTCATCATAAAGCTAATTAATCTTGCAAAATGCCAAATTAAAAATACAGTACCATTTTCAACAAACAAACGTATAGTATACATAAACTCATCAATTTTAACCCATAAACAAGGTAAGATTACCCCCACAGTTGACAAATTTCAAATCCACTCTTCCAGTTCACTGCAACATGAATGCCACAAGAGATGCCAACACAGAGAAACACATGATCACCTTAGAAACAGGCAAATCAAACCCAGTTCCAGCCTCCAATTGCCCAGTAGGAGCAATCTCTGAATCTTGTGCCACAATTTTGGTAACACAAAGCATGCCCACAAGCATCACTACCATCAAAATGTTACAAGTGAATCTACCAAAAGGTGCCATTGAATATAATTTTATGTTACTCAAGTGAAATGGCCAAAGAGATTGGAATTGGTATTTGTTGACAAGTGAATTGTTCAAGGGTAGAGCCAAGAGTTGAACTTATATAGGACTTAGGAAAAGTTGTTACATCATAAGGTCATGATTTTGAAGTTGGTAAAATGGTGCATTAAACATTAACCAAATTTGAATGTTACTATCCCTTTTTGGTTAAGGCTTTCAAGACCCCACAAGACAAATCAAAGCTACTTGGGGAAGGGTGGCATAGCATCCTCAAAGAGCCCCTTACATCGCAGTTATATAGGAACAATCAGGTAACTACCACTTATGGTACACCCTACTACACTTGAGTTCCCCACATGGCTTGGATAAGTGACACGTTTGGAATCATGAACGTTTTTGTGGTGTTGGTTACTTGGAAGGAAAAATAAGAGTATAAAGGAATGTGAAAGGGATCACTAGGCAAGCCATCTTTTCTCAATTCATTGCAATTGGTGGGAACTCTCTTTCAAACCAGCTGAAGCACCCTTGACATAGCAACGGTTATGATGTTTTAGAAAAGGCTTAGTCTATGGTTTATATATAGATATCCCTTTTAACTTGTTGAGATGAATCCAGAAATTCAATAATAACTGGGATTGACTTAGTAATAGAGTTGGAACAAAATCCACACGAATTTATATTCAAATTTTGTTATGATGATTAAAATTCATATGGATAAAAATAAAAATAAAATAATAAAAAAAGCTAAATTTTCAGTATCATTTTATTTTATTTTAGTAGAAATCACAAATATAGTTTATCGTAGATAATCTTATTTAAGTAAAGTGAAATCTATATGAATGACAAAACTCTTTTTCCAAATAATCACAGTTACACACTTGAACTTGAGCTTGAGATAATTTGTTAATAAGATTTTTTTTTCTGACTCTTGAGTTATAATTATAAATGTTGCTTTCCAGAGATGTAACAAGAAATATAAAAATGACGTAATTTAATTTGGATCATTTGAACTTTGGTCGGAATCAATCATAAATCCGCTTTATGTTGGTCTGGTGCGAAGTAAATTCAACTGCTTTTTCCGGGGAATTAGTCACGTAAATTGCTTACACATAAAAGAGTAATCAAACAGAGACAACTTTTTGAAGTTTTTTTATCCCCCTCTTTTGCTACTTTGTGGGAATCAATCATAAATCCAGTTTATGTTGGTCTGGTGCCAAGTAAATTTCTTAATATTTTTACACGATTCCAAAGTCTAAATTATAGCCCCAAGTGTCTACTTTCTAACCCAATAAACGAAAATTAATTTGGTTAATCGCACAGAAAGATATTACAAAAATACTAAGATATATCCACAACTAAAATCTCTCAATTACTCATCAATTCATATAATTAAGGGTGTTCATCAATCTACAAGAATCCTAACTTACAGAGTACATCCCAATAAATACAATAAATCCAATCATGACCTAAATAATGAATTTTACCCAATAATATCACAAACAAATTTATAAATCAACATAAAATCCGATTGAATCATCAATTTCATAGAATCTTAACTCAAATAGTAAAACCTCCAATTTTTTCAAAATCTAACTAAAAGACACTTTTCTACAATTTCGTTCTCCCTCCCAGATCATCATTTTTACAAATTGTTTGCATATTCCTAATCCTCAATACATGCAAAATCTAATGGGATCATTAATTCCTCAAACAGAAATAATTATAAAATTATCCATAATCCTAGGGGATTCCTCCTCTACCCAATTCCCTCATGTAACTTTGTATACAAATAATCCTTTTTCCCCGTACTTGATGATGCGAATCCGAATGGTCTTGGTGTGATTTAAGATCGGTCCTGAGTACTCTTTTGTAGAACTCTTTATTTCTCTTCTTTTTCTTTCTTCGTATAAATTGTGGATGTTTTAGGTGAGGAAGATCCGGTTACGAGTGACATCTAGAATGCCAACAGTTGAATTGTGGGTATGCTCTGATATTGTGACATCGGGGCAGAGGATTTTTAGGACATAGATTTTATATGGATTTGGAATTGTAAATATGATTTTGAAAACAATTTGTAAATTTTCAAGTTTTATTTTCAATTATTATGTTGGTTATTGATAAATGAATATGAAGGTTTTATGTGAACCCTTTTACCAACGTTAAAAATTTTATTCTTTAGTTTATTTATATGATTATATTTATATATGTGTTGGGGTAGTAAGGGTGTCACATAAAGCACATATAAACACACTACAATGTAATCTCATCATAACTCATTACATAATGAAATATTTACAATCATTTCTACATATCATAATTCTATCAATCATGCATTATCTTTACATCACAATTCTCAATCACACCAATTCATCACATCATATATTTTGTACTATGTTAAGCTCATGCCACCCTTGTAGCATCTTGTGGCCAAGGTCGTGCCACGCCAACATAAGTACTAGTTGCCACACACAAATCTTGCAATTAACACTATGTCATGCTCACGCCACTCCTGTAACATCTATTGCCCAAGGTCGTGCCACGCTGACATACGTGATAATTGTCTCACACATCCCACACTATATGTTATGCTCATGCCACCCTAGTAGCATCTCTTGCCCAAGGTCGTGCCACACCAACATAAGTGTGAGGAACCACAATCACATTTCATTCACAATCATCACAAATCTTGCAATTAACACTATGTCATGCTCACGCCACCCCTATAGCATTTCTTGCCCAAGGTCGTGTCACGTCGACATACGTGTTAATTGCCTCACACATCCCACACTATACCATGCTCACGCCACCCTTGTAGCATCTCTTGTCCAAGGTTGTGCCACGCGACATAAGTTTGAGGAACCACAATCATCACAAATCTTGTAATTAACACTATGTCATGCTCACGCCACCCCTGTAGCATCTCTTGCCTAAGGTTGTGTCACACTGACATACATGTTAATTGCCTCACACATCCCACACTATGTCATGCTCACGTCACCCCTGTAGCATCTCTTGCCCAAGGTCGTGCCACATAAGTGTGAGGAACCACAATCACATTTCATTCACAATCATCACAAATCTTGCAATTAACATTATGTTATGCTCACGCCACCCTTGTAGCATCTCTTGCCCAAGATCGTGCCATGTCGACATAGTGTTAATTGCCTCACACACCCCACACTATTCCATGCTCACGCCACCCTTGTAGCATCTCTTGCCCAAGGTCGTGCCACGTCGACATAAGTGTGAGGAACCATAATCATATCACATTCACATTCAACACAACATCTCATTTCATGCCAACATACTCACATCATAATTAATTGAACAATTCAGCCATAACATACCATTCACCACATCATGCTATCAATTCAATACTAAAACAGTAGATACAATATGTATACATGTGTGTCAAGACATTACACCATAGTCCATAACTCAATTCCACATCACATACACAATATAGATAAGTCCACACAAAATAATGGTTCACATATCTCTCAAGAAATTCACCATGCATCCACATCTCATCATTATAAATATATGAACGAACTCTACAACCTAGTATCATACTACTTTAAACAACTTTTCAATTCACATGATAACACCTTAGAACATCAAAACAGCATACGTCTCTCTTTGACAACTATCAAAGAAAACAACACAAAGAGAGTTATACTCATCCAAATAAGCTCAAACCTATCTCAAAAGAAATATAGGAGGATCATATACAACTGTTATGAAGACATGAAATTCTAAAAAAATCATCTACTTAGTTAAAAATGTTAAAAACCGCAACAGATATAATCCACGCTGGCAGCTTGACCCATATTCACTAAAATAGCCATATCTAGAGTTCTAGACATCCTTTTTGAGTGATTCCAAATCCATTAAAAACCTAAAACCAAAAGCTAAAACTTTTATGGAGAAAAAGAAACCTAAAAATGACGTTAAGGTCACCTCGCATGGATGACAACACGTAACGTAATCTTTCGCGCACTGGAATGGAGACTGAACTTATAACTCGCATAACTCGATCAATTCTTAATATTTTTACACGATTCCAAAGTCTAAATTATAGCCCCAAGTGTCTACTTTCTAACCCAATAAACGAAAATTAATTTGGTTA